CTTACTCCCAGTACTTACTCATTCAGCCATACTTGACACGGCCTCACCCTCCCAGGAGCCTGAGTCTGCTCGGCACCTCTACCACCCCCACAGGGGCCCTCTCTTGCCCACGTCTGAGCATCGCCGGTCCTCCCCTATACAGGGCCTGCTCCCAGCCACCCCACAGCAGCTGGCATGGATTTCCAGGCAAGACCTCAGTGGCTTGTTGCAAACTGCTGCGTCCACATTCTGATCCTCCCTGAGCTCTCTCCGTCTCTCTCAGTGAGTCTCTGCCTCCACCTGTCCCTCCCTAAAGCTCTTTCTTGCTCATTTAGAAATTAAGACCTCAGCAAGATGCTGCCCTGGAGCTGTCAGACAGGACTCAGGTGGTGTAATGGTTGATACATTGTGTCAACTTGAGAAGTTTAAAAGCTTAACTAAGTAACTCAGCAGTTTTGTATCCTGGGGTATACAGGACATGTTCTTACCACTCTAGGATGTGGTTCATTGTCAACTTGAAAAGTTTAGATGTTAAACTAAGTGACTCCGCAGGGGGTCAAGGTCCTCACTTTGTAAACATCCTGAGCCTTGCAGAAAGGAAGGCACCCAGGGATGGTGTGAGTGCCACACACACCCGGGGGCAGGTAGCGTGCTTACAAGGTAAGGAGGGAAAAGAGGCTTGCTCCCCCTTGTTGCTTTTGCTGTCTTCTGCCACCATGAACTGTTGCCCCTCTGCCATGTACCACCCTGCCTTGGAGCCAGCTGATTATGGACTTAAACCGCCACAAGCTGTGAGCTAAATAAACCTTTCCTTCCTTAATTTTGGATGTTGGGTATTTTGTCCAGCAACGAGAGAAAAGTAACCGAGACAGGTGGCCAGAGCTGTGGTGGTGATGGGGAGCTCTTCAGAGTAGCAGGACTAAGTACGCAGAACCTCCTTCATCTCCCAGATTCCCACCTTCCTCCCCAGGTGCAGCCTCCCTGCATACTCTGCGGGACGGGCCTGGGACTCCCAGAATTCAGGGTCTCTTTCTCGGCCCGCTGTAGACCAGAGGGGCCCCTGCATCTGTCCTGGCACCGGCCTTGCTCTGCTAGTCACAGTACTGGCCCCTTATCAGCAAGTGGACAACAAGATGGAGTCATGTGCCATTTCTGGCCACCAGACAAGGTCATGGACGGCCTCATGCAAGGCCCGAGGAGCCCCGAGTTCCAGGCTCAGGGGTGCTGCCGTCATTACGTGATTTGGGGCCTAGCACAGAGCAGTCTGAGGCCCCATTTGCCCAACTGTAACGCAGTTAGGGGTCCACAGAGATCTTGCTGTCTTTGGAAAGGGATTCTTGGGCTCAGGCGTCCCCAGAACGGCCACAGTGTTTCCCGTTCCTCCATATCCTGGATCAAGTTAGGAGGGGATCCAGAACCCTTGCAGGTCACAGTCACTCCAGGGCTCATAACCTGGACACTGCCCCATCCTTGCCCCATATCTTCTGGACGGTGATGGCTTCCCTCAGCTAGCCTACCCGGGGGACAATAGGGGGCAACAGTCCCAGGCCGGCTGCCGCTCTGCTATGCCCCCAACTCCTGTCTCTGCCCGTTACCTGCTATATCCCACAGCCTACGCCTTCCATCCAGACTGGGTGTTTCCTCATTGGCCTAACTGGGCACTACTTCATGCTGGCAGAGGAGAGAAAGGAGAACTGTTCCCCAGAGGCTGGGGGGGGGGGGCATTCCTGATGGCTTTGTCCCTTTGTGTGGCCTAGGGAGCCAGAACTCCCAGCCCTACTGCCTACTCTGCCTGGGGCCTATCTCTCTGGAGTCCCTAGCCTCCACTGTATCCCCAGGGGTAACAGTAGCTCCACTCCTCCATGATCTTCCTCTGCAATCCCAGAGGCTTAGCTGTTGCTTGCCCAGGCCAGCGTCCTTGAAGATTTCATAGGATGAGGGGTTGGAGAATGGCGAGGTGCTGAATCACGAGTGCAGGTGCAGGGTGTCTGAGGCTGATGAGTTCCTCCTAGGGGATGGATTCATACTGCCAGGCACTCCTGGATCTGTGCGCCCAACCACTTCACCCAGCTGGGGAGGAGGCTCACCCCCCGGCCCCTGCCTCGTAAGCCCAGCCCCGGAGAGAACAGGGGCAGCGCAGGGACCATGATTCCTTGTAGGGTCCATGTCACACTGACAGGAAAGCTGCGCTGAATATTATCCAGTACTGCTCCTCCCCCTCCCTGGCAGTGCTGTAGAACTCGGGGCGGGGGTTGTTACTGAGGGCCAGCATCAACCCCCAGGAGGCAGAGTTCTCCTGAAATGGAGAGGGAGTGCCCCTTTGGAGTCCTCTAGCTTTGCACAGTACGACGTTCCTGCTGGCCCTCAAGTCACCCCACACAGCCTCAACCTCCCCTCCGCGCTCGGAATAGAACTCCCTGGCCCCATCCACTTTCCAGCGTCAACACATGAAGCGCTAACTGCCCCTCACAGGAAAAGCAGGCATCAGTTAAATAACGTGATGACGGAGCCAGGCCCTGCCCCCCGCTCCAACCGCCTGTGGAGGCGAATCTGCTAAAGGACTGATGAGCAAAGCCAAGAAATGCTTTTTTTGTTTGTTTTTTTGTTTTTCTTCCGGTACCAGGAATCAAACTCACGACCTTGCGCTTGCCAGGCAGGCGCTGCGCCGCTGAGCTGAATCCCCAGCCCCAAGCCAAGAGATGCTTCTAGCAGAAGTTTTAAAGACTTTTCTGAGGGCCTCTCCCCCATCTGTCACTGGAGAGGGCACTTCCTTGGGACCAGCCTTCCTCTCTCCTGCCACCTCATGCCCAGTACTTAGAGCAGTCACTCGCGTGCCGCCTGTGTTGCCCAGGGGAAGGGCACTGGTGTAACATGTGCTCCTGAGAGCCCTTCTTGGGAAATGGGCCCCTCATTCCTGACGCACCGGGCTCATTCAGGACTTGCGTCCCTGGACTGCTGGTTTCACTGGCCAGGTCATCACCCTCTCTGCCTTTCTTCTTTGCTGGGCAAAAATGAACAAATTACGGACTGGTTGTCTCCAGAATTACTGAGGGCAGAGGACAGGGCCGGGCAGCGAACTTCAGGGAAGCTCTTCCCACCCTTGGTGGGGGAGGCCAGTGCCTGCCCCTCACCCTCCTCTGACGGGCCCAGAGGGGTGGAAGGGTGGCTATCAGAGGAGGCAATTTGCCGTGGCCATTCCACAGACGCTGATGGGACATTAGGCAGTGATGGAGGGCTGCCTCCGTCAGAGCCTGACTTAGCCCACCGCTGACACCCTCCTCTTCCACCTGGAGGTAGAAAAACACGTCTTGGGAAGAGTTAGAGCTGCTGTCAGTGCTGGCCAGGGGCTCTGAGGAGACTTTTTATTTATTCGAAAGCCATTCAGATATCTAATGCTCGTCTGAGGGGAGAATTTCTCTCTTTTATTTGTCCTCATTTTCTCTTGCCGGAGTGGGATGAATATCTGGGGGGGGGGTAAGCCCAGGGTCTAATCCCTGATGCCACTGCCACGGCAAATGGGACATCCTTAGTGCCACCCACCAGGCAGGCATCTGGGTCAGATTTCAGGGCTGGGGAGGTTCAGAAGATTCTGAGGGCCTCAGTGTTTTCTAGGAGACATACAGGACAGAATCTGGACCTTGGTTGCTCATTATAACCCTGCGACAAACCTTGCTTTCCTCTGGGCCCCAGTTTCCACATCTGTAAAATGAGCAGGTTGGTCCAGACCTCTCCAAGAAAAACTCCAGGCTACTCAGCACAGCACTGGGGAGGATGAGGACGGCCACCCAGGCAGAGCTTCAGTGGGGCAGCCTCTTCAGCTGGGCAGCCACACCCACCTGTCTTCACCTGAGCAGGGAGGACCCCAGTTTGCAGCCAGGGCAGCAAAGCTGACGCTGCAATTCCCTGCACTCGGACCCAGTCATCACCTGGCTTTTGCCTCCGTTCTCTAAGGATGAGCCTACCGGGTCCCAGGGTCCTGGGTGCAGGGGCACACAGCCTGTCTCAGCATATGACTCATCTCCACCTCTGACAAAGCCAGGCCCCAGGCTGCCCGTGAGGCCACACCCTCCACCCTGCCTCTCCCAAGAGCTCATTTACTCACACACAAGCCCCGAGGAGCTGTGCCCCAGGCCAGGGAAGCAGGCCACCCACTCCTTCCTGGGCCTTTTCTCAGGCCCGCTGCCGGGGATGCTCCTTCTCCTGCCTCCAGCCGTTCATCCATCAAGCCCTGCCTGCTCTTTTGTGCCAGTGTCAAGGCCACCTCCTCCAGGAAGCCTTCGCTAACCCTCTGAGCTTCACAGTGGTAGGCAACCGCATGGGTTATTTTACCCACGTGCTGGAACTGTGCATGGTCTGAGGTATTCACCGTGTTTCTCCTGTGTAGCAAATTCCCCGCCAAGTGGGGGAGCTCCTAGGGGCTAACGATCAAGCCTCTAACACCTGCCAAATCTCACCTGATTAACCAGCCTCCCAGCATGGACACATAACCTGCGTTCAGTTCTCCTCACGAGAATGAAAGTCTAACCGTGGAGCCGCCCCTGCAGTACCAGAAGGCCTGGCTCCCCTGTGACCCCCACACTGGGATTTCAGTTGTCTCCTGTCAGAGGCCAGGATTGGGACATCAAAGCGATGGCCGGACTCACTTGTCATCATGGGGAAACAGAGCTGGTTCGACAACCCAGGTTCCAGACTCCAAGATCCACAACTGGATCTGCACTGACCACTGGCAAGCCTCTTCCTTTCTCCAGGCCTCAGTTGCTCCTTTTGTTTAACAAGGAGTCCCACAGGCCCTGACAGCTGTAGCCTGGGAGCTGGCTCCAACCTTGGTGTGCAGGTGGTGATGGTTCACACTGCCTGGAGGGGTTAAACTTAAGTCCCCTGCTTTTCGTAAACTGTTCCAGACTGACAGTGGGTCTGTATTGTACCAAGATCCTTCAAAGTTTGGCTTTTGTTTTTATTTCTTTGTTGGTTTTTGAGATAGGATAGCAATGTGTTGTTGAGGCTGGTCTCGAACTCTTGGGCTCAAGTGGTCCTCCCCCCTCAGCCTCCCTAGTAGCTGGAACTACAGACGTGCCAAGCAGGGCCTGAAGTGTTCTCAGTGCATTCAGAGGTGCAGTCCTCTTCTGCTCGTATCTGGAGGTTGCAGGCATCCCCACTGTGCTCAAACAGGGGCATTTTGGGGAGAGTTGCACCCCTGGTGTCCTCACAGCTGATGAGCAGGTCACGGGAACACTGTCAGGTAAAGTGCCGGTAGTAAGGGCCCACGTATGAGTGCGTCTCAGGTGCGGGTCCTAGCGGACAACTGAGTCCAGTCCTGAGGGAGAGAACAAGCTGGTCTGAATGGACCGGGGGAGCCAAGGATGCCAAGGCAGGGCTCTCCCTGGCCCAGGTGAAGACTCCTGCGGAACACGCCTGGCTTGGAAGGCAGGTGCCGGTTGAAGACATGCTCAGCCCTGGAGCCTCCCTCCACCCCCTCATAACGTGCCCACCCCACCCTGCTCCCCTTGCAGGCTGAGCTGGAACCCCCTCCTTCTCTTCCCGGAAGCCTCCTCTCCCTGCCTGCGTAGGGGCCTGCCCCTCCTGGGGATGCTTGAGTTTCTCTCCCCGCTCTTCATTTAGCCCCCGCTGAGTGCCGAGTCCTCCCCTCAGGATCCTATGTGCTTTGGGTCTTTGGGCTACTCCGCCAGATGGGGACCCTGTCAGCCACTATATGGATGAAGAGATGGACTCAGAGAGCCTGCGTGGCTTGCTTACACAACCTGTGTCATCTCTTGCTAAAACTAACCCACCTCTGTCCAGGTCCAACTAAACTTTCTGGGCATATTCCCACACCCTGGGCTGGGAATATAGCTCAGCAGCATAAGCGCCTGCCTGGCAAGCGCAAGGTCCTGAGTTCAATTCCAGGTACCAAAAAAACCCCCAAACAAACAAACAAATAAAATATTCCCACACCCCTTCATCTGCCACCCAAATGACTCCTCATGTCAACATTTCCTGTGACCCCACTCCCCACCCCATAGCCAACACTGTGTGGGGCCTAAGAGGCTGTGACAGAGCCTAGACGCCTCTAGTCCAAGCTTGCCAAGGGTCCATCTTGAGGCAGAGGACACTGCATGTGTGTGCACCTGGGGAGCGGGCAGGAGCGATGAGATGAGCTAGGGACCCAGCCAGCTGGAGAGAGGAAAGCTGGTCCAGGAGGGCTTCCTGGCATAGGTGGTCCGATGAGTTCATGAATACCCTGCGTCCAAGTGGTAGAGATGAGAGATTCCAGGCAGAAGAAAATGCAGGAGCAAAGCCACGGGGCTGGAGTCTTCCCTGAATAAGGAGGCGTGAGAGGCCAAAGGGCGGTGGGGAAGGTGGCCGGAGGAGGGAATCTGCCACGCCCCATGTCCCGAGCATTCCTGATGTGCTGCCTCTTCCTAGAGGAGCATAGTAGAGCCCAAGGCCTACCCGGCATGTCGTAGGCTCTCAACAAAGCCCTCAGTCTCTTTGGGCTGCCGAGTAGCTCTCCCTTAGGGCCCCGCATGCAGAGCTAGCACCTACCAAACCCCAGCAGAGGTCAAGGGCTTCTCTTCTGACCGCAGCTTTACCTGTCCTGCCACCCCACATCTTGAGCATCGGCACCTTGGCCCACCTGGACGACCTCAGGCCCTTGCGGTTAAACCTGGCGGTGTGCCTGCCCTGGGAGTCCTACTCCCCGGGGAGTGCAATTTCTCCTCCTCACGTCTTAACCTGTGGCTAGAGCCAGTCACCATGGGGCGGGAGACGCTGCGTGCCTCCGGAGTTGGAATGTGTAGACCCTCCCCGCCCGTTTACTCTTAATCACCTCCCGCCTTATTTGTCTTCCTTTAACGCCTGTCAGCCAAAGCCTCCCGCCCTTCCCTCGGCACCAGCGGCCTCAATTAGGTGCACGTCTGCGGAGGCTGAAGCTGGAATATCCAGCCACCAGCGCCCACTGCCATTCCTACACTGGCTCCAGGTACCTGACAACCTGGCACTCTCTAGGGACGGCAATGCCATCCTGGTGTCAAAGGGCAGGGGGGCTGCCCCTGACATTTCCAAGGCCACTGCAAAGTCTGCCTCTGAAAGGTGCCTACCAGCCATGGGGCTCCCCGCAGGAGTTCCACCCTTGTGTTGATCCTCTGGAGCTATGAGCACAGGTATGTGTCCATACAACAGGAGAGGCCATCTCTGGACAGTGCTACCTGGACGTGAGGGGGCAGAAATGCTGGAAAGAGCAGCAGGAGCGGATGGGAGGGCACTGCTTATCCCTGGCTTGTTAAGTCTTCAGTTCAGGACCCTCCCATTCTGTCCAGCCTGGTACAGGGACTGCCCTGCCCAGAAGTTGGGGGGAAATCCAGCACAATTGGGCGTCTGGCTCAGAGAGGGCCTCCTGACTCACCCAGCTGGCCTGACGTGGCCTCTCGAAGTCCACTGGGCTCTTCCTGTCCACTGGGTCCCAGGGTTGAGGCCCAGGGTCTCTGGCCTCTGCCCTGCCTTCATCTGATAATGCTTTCCGGGCCTCATGTTTCGGGAGCTGCTGGCACACTTCGCTGCGGCCCCTGAAGGTCACTCGGGTCAGGAGAGGAGTGACCTGTAGCAGATGAAGAAAGCAGGCCCCTTGTCAAAGCCCAGCTTGTGAGGCCAGGGAACCACAGCGGGGCTGGGAAGCAAGGAAAAGATACTGAGCCCCGTTCCAGGCCCCACTCCCACCTCTGTGGCCCTCAGTGCAGGGCCTTCTGTTCTTCCCTTCTCATGGGCGAGTCCTCCTGGGATGCCCTGCAAGGGGATGACCGGAGGCTCTCCCAGGCCTGAGGAGACGGGGCTCCTGGGCATTTCTGAACTGTCGAGCGGTTGCTGACCCTACCCTTCATGTTAGGGAGAGTCTGTGAGCCGGCTCTGCGCTGTGCGGGTGGGGTCCGAGGGGACCCCAGGGATGCTCCTCCCTATCTGAGTACTTCTGTTAACCTACCGCTCCACTCACCCCGGTCTCACTTCATTCTGACAATGGGCATGAGCGCCCACAGACACGCACAGGAGAGGGGGGAGGCTGAGGCCTCTCACAAACTAAACCGCTGGCGCTGAAGCAAGCCCCAGGCCTCTCCTCGCTGCCGGAAGAGCCGGGGTCCCCTGAGACAGAATGATTGGGCTGTGCGGGGATGAGGTCCCCGGCCCTACAGGAGCGAACTGGTCAGGGGCCGCACAAGCCGCGGAGCTGGGGCTGGGGCGGGGAGGCGGCCTTCTCTGCCCAAGGTGGTGATGCCAGGGGTTAGGTGGCCTTCCGCCACCCTCAGCTCCCGACGGCGCAGCTGGACCCAGGGCCCCGCTCCGGGGACAAGGAGAGTGGACCTTTTCTTTCTGCCTGCGGCTAGATGTGCGAGACAGAGACCTGGCGTGGTCCGAGCCGCGGGGGTTGGGACGGGGCGCTGCGACAGCGCGTACCCTCTCCTCCGGCCCGCCGCCGAAGCCGGCCTTCCCACCCTCGCAGCCGAGACTCCAGGCCTGCAGCCTGCTGAAGGTCGAGGAGGGTCACACGCGCGGCCGGGGCGCTCGGCGGGGACCCC